CCGTAACTATGGCACTGTCGTCTGTGCCCGTGCTGAATGTTTTTTTCTCATTTTTAAAGATGGTGCACCATTCGTCAGCTCACAGCGATCATTTTTGGATGCAACGGACGAGCCAACTTATTCATACCGATACGAGCCCGTAGCCAAACAGAGAAACCACTAAATGAAAAGTCAACGACGGCAACCCATTTTATCGTGAATTGGAACGGTGTGGAAAAGGTACAAGTGATTTACCACCGAGGAGTGTTTCAGTGCGTGGGATCTTCGCAGGTATTACAGCCGGTGACAGGGATGAACTGCCATGGTGTCTGCAAGAGATTCCATTAGCGAAAGATCAGCACTGTTTAAGGGAAATTTCCACATTTGTATGACGTTTTGAACTGAAATCCCCCTGTTGAAGACCATTCGGTGCAGTTAAGACTGTACTTAGTGAGACCTAAAACTCTCTATTTTCCGAGGAACATGCCGGCGTAGTTATGCAGACTATTCCATGCAAATCATTTTAAGGGCACTCAGGCATACACGACGCCACAGAAACGCCATTCAAATACCACCACTCCATTGATCATGGGGCGTTCAAAGACAAGTGTCAGGTCGTCCATGCCTGGCTTCCGTGACGACCGTACCTAGATGCGCGGTAAGCAAGGTAACGGTAACGTGAGCATAGTAACGTTTTCAGTTTACTCTCAGTTAATGTTGCAGAGGCGAGTGAGTTTAACACAACCACGTTTTATGACAAATAATACACGAAGGTACACATGGGTACTAGTTATTAAACGCCCCATAACCGAATATGTGAATGTAAGTGAACAACTTGAACACTTGAATGTGCAAGAACACCAGGAGAAACGGCTAAAACACAAGGCAACAATAATACCTGTATCAGCAAACACGTCCAGCACCGCTACTGTCAGCTCTCGACAAGCTGAAGTGCAACTCACGAGTAAATACGCAAGAACTCCAAGAGCAAGGCCATAACACTAGGCCAAAGCAAGAACACTAGGCCATAACGACATTTGCATCAGCAAACACGTTCAGCATCACTACTGCCACCTATTGCGCGTTAAATTGTTACAAGTGAGTGCAGGGGTAGCAGTTCTGCGCGGCCAGTTTGGCGGCAAATCTAACGTCATACAAAAGTTCCATAACACCACACACTGACGTACTGCGGAGCACATCATAGAAATGGAATATTTCGTTTTCTGTAGCGATCTTTTCCAGCTAGAATTATACCAAAAGTTGTAAGCGAGCTTTGTTCATGATACCTGGTGCTCACTTCGATATCTTGAAACGTGGAATATTCCTTTTTTCTGTTTACTGTTTCGTGTAGTTTGCCACTGGCCTAGGTCATAACTTTCCGGCTACGGTGGCTTCCGTAAAACACATGCTGAGCTCAAAATAGGTTCCTTTATTAGGGAATTTGGGCGCTGAATTCGAGAATTCCACTGAAACATGTTGTGATACCACTCTAATGCATAATGAAGTTACCGTAGTTCACATGATGACATGCAAAGCCGCATAAGGTCATTAAAGGTCAAACACCTTTGTTGTCAGTAGTGGGGAGGGTAGATGAATGAATGCGACGCGTGCGACCACCTCCTTATCGTGTTTGTGAAGCTGATGACGGGTGATTTCATGTGCCAGCGTGCCTGTTTTCAGTGTGTGACAAATACATTAACAAGCGTCGAAGGGACTATGCATCAAGTGAACGGGAACTATGCGCTCTTGAGTACTTGTAAATGTACAACGCACTTTGGCTTACCGCAAAAAAGCGTTGCAGTGGTCACTTAGACCCGGTAGCGCTTATTTTGTTTGGGGGAATGGTTTTTGAATTTGACCCAAATTGATCTCAGCTGAAATCTAGGTCTGCCAAAAATAGTATTTTTGTGTCTGGAACACATCTTTTTTCACAGCTGCAGATAACAAAATAAACTTAGTCCAAGGCAAGAAAAGAGTACTGTTTTTTGTGGCTGTTGGTAGACCAATTTCAAACGGTGGCCTAATCTGGCCTGACCCTTGCGGAGAAAAAAATGGTCGGACTAATAACCTCCCCACAGCCTTAACACTTACTTTTGTGCCCTTATCATCTGTCTTAATGTACTAACATACGTTTGAACTGCATCTATCAGAACGACCTTCGTATTATTGTAGTATTGACCACGCTGGCGAAAACTTATTTCATTTTTATTTTGAATTTCAAAATTACCTGGAATCTCAACCACCGAAGTGGCGCAAAAATAGTTATAGATACTTGCATGCAAACTTTACAACCTCCGTTTAACTGATATAAGTTGTGTTCTATTTGGCTAGCACTAAAATGCTGCTGGTTGTTTGAGTGAATGTCCTACCAGATAATCAGCAACTACAAAGTCTAGCTCCAACTACTAGTTTTCACTGGGTTTGTGGTTTTCCTTTGACTGAGGACTCAGACGGCGGTACTGCTGCATCACAATGCACAGTTGCATTGACTGGGATGTAAATTACGATGCCACATGTGTAAAAACGTGCCGGAAATACCGAACTGAACTCGCACCGCAGTGGATGTCATTTTTAGTTCGGATTTCACAAGTATTTCAGAGCTTGACACGCGTCGCCGTGCGAAATGTCTGAAAAAGTTAGACTAAAAAGTGAAGGCTTGCGGCGGGATCGGCCCGCAAAATGACAACCAATGCTTAGGTTGGAGCGAAGAACGCACCTCGCCAAAAACCGCAACGCGTTGAGATTCGGAGCCGTGTTAAGCGCAACACTTGGATTGCCACAACACAGCGGATGCTCTTGACACCTGTATTGCCAACGGATGGAGGTTACACTCGCTAATGGGGCTCGCCCAACGACAGCACCACACGCGCGCCAGCCACTCAGTCGAGCGCTGCGCGACGCGCGCGGAAACGACGCGGCCGGCATGCGGCAGCCGAGGCAAAATAAATACACGTCTTTGGCAACAGATGGCGTGCGGCGCTGTATTCGCCACTATCGTAGAGGACAGAGTCAGCGCTCGACAAGACACACATGCGCGCTGTTGTGACCCTCTCTGACGCATTGCTTCTTGTGGCCCATGACGCAAATCGTCAAATGGTGGCTAGACATTAGAGTCAGACAATGAAAAAGGAACAGTGCAGACGGGGTACGAATTTTCTTGGCGACTTTCGCAACAACTTTTTAATACGCACGGTTTTCTCGACACACCGGGTTGCACAGGCGAAAGCAAGGACTTAAGTGTGGGGCGCTTCCTTTTCTGACTAGCACCCTGTAAGGAAATGTCGTTGGACTTCAGGGGCCCACTTCAAGTTAGCTCAAAGAGCGGCACCTACGCTCGGGTCTCAATCGCTCTCAATTGACGGTTGATGGCGCAGCAACCATTAGGTGACCAAATTTTAAAAAATTGAAACACTTAAGACATCTGCCTTGCTTGAGTCTTAAGTGATCATTTACAGGAGAAAATAAGCGTATACAATTATGATCTCGCTCGCAGACAAAGCCTGACTCAGCATGGTCTCAATTGCAAGACGGCTTGAATTATTTGTGCCATTTCTCCCAACGCACAATATTGATGAGGGCATCCATCAACACCATGTAGGTTCACATCCAACACGGGCAGCTTATCCGCCAACACCATGTACGTCCACATCCAGCACGGGCAGCTCTGTGGCTGAATGAGAGCGATACAGACAATACGGCGGGACGCGGAGCGCACGAGGACATCGCATGAACCGGAGCTACTGAGAAAGCAACTCATCGGTCACCGGGCGTTTTGTCAACAAGCACAAGACACAGCCGAGCGCGGCTGCGTTTCGCGGAATAAGCTCGCTTTTCTAATGTAACTAGCGTGTGCAACAACAAGACAACATAAGACAATCACGAAATTGAGGGGCAAACAGAGCCTTTCCTGCCACAAATGCAGAGGGAAATGTACCCTCGTCCTGAAAGTAGCACAATAGCCTGCCCTATGGGCTATCTCAAATGGGGTCATTAAGATACCCAGTATTTGTGTTAAATGAATAACATTGTGGCGGGGTTTTTCACCCAAGTATTTACGATCGTCGTCAAACTAACGTTTTGCAAATAATTCGCAATAGGCACTAATTTTTGGACACCGAAAATACGCAAAATTTATTTCAATGCAACATCTTCGCTGCTATTATCATTGTACCCGTACGTGTAATCATAGAAACCATCCCATCAATGCAATTTTCGGCAGCAGAGTTCACAAAAGAACGATTGATGCACATTTACATTGTCTTTGTTCGAATCCTCCATCTTAAAACACGGGGACGCATATTATGGACCCCACGCCCAACGCCATCTTCCCTAGAAGGGCAAGGTTACTCAGTCCACCACGCACATTCAGTGACTACATGTGGTATGGCACATCCACGCCACGTCTTGTTGGGATACCACAGGGGTAACATTACCCCGGCGTCAGTGCATTATGATGCGTCCCCACTACCATGCGAAAAGTGATGCGTGCGAAAAATGCAGTCACATCCACCACCAAGCCAAGCCACACTGCTACGTTCACTCTTGTGCCACACAGCACAGCCGTATCCACTGTTGTTGTGCAGTAATGCCACATGTACCGCTGACACACTCCCGCTGTACAGTGTTGATGAATACACTGACAATGCACGGCCCACCTACATCCAATGCTTAGAGATAACGCAATGTCCCATGTGTGTCCATAGAGCGTTGCCATACTCAGGATCTAGCCAAAAGACGGCCATGTGGAGCGTTGAGGCAGACGACAACGTACTGTTACGTGGCGCGGGGAGGGGGAGGGCTGTGCCACGCAATACCGGCACTTCCGCTACTGCGTTGCTCAGTGTTGTCACATCCACCGCTGTGTCGTGCGTCACCGGCCCACGCGCCTTGTCGAATAACAACGACGTCACACGAGTAGGTAGGCGCCGGCTACGCCGCGACGGGCGGAGTGCCGCCGTGCACCCCCTCCCCCTCCCCCCGCCTCGTCGTCGCCACCAACCCACCCACCCCCGGACCGCGACTGCCGGACATTACGCACCGTCGTCTCTCCTTCGGTAGAACAGGCGAGCCCACGCACCGCACCGAGGGCCGCACGTCAAGCTGTGTTCCAACCAAGGCTTGAATGCCTGACGCACTGCATCACGGAGTCACAGCACACAGCCCCCCTCCCCCCACGACGAGCTGCTACCCGCGAACACAGAGCCGACGGTAGCTGCGGCCGCCGACCAGCGGTAGTCGACGGCAGCACATTGCTGGTGGGGACACGGCGGAACAACGCCGACTACGGTCCTGGTGTTCACTTCCACGGACAAAACACCACGAGACGGTGCCGGCTACATGACCACACGACTGGTGTTTGCTCCTCATGGACAGATGTCCTGTCGATGAGTAGGACAGGGCCGGATACAGGACTGGTGTCCCTGTACATGGGCAGGACAGGGCCGGATACAGGACTGGTGTCCCTGTACATGGGCAGGACAGGGCCGGATACAGGACTGGTGTCCCTGTACATGGGCAGGACAGGGCCAGGTACAGGACTGGTGTCCCTGTACATGGGCAGGACAGGGCCGGATACAGGACTGGTGTCCCTGTACATGGGCAGGACAGGGCCGGATACAGGACTGGTGTCCCTGTACATGGGCAGGACAGGGCCGGATACAGGACTGGTGTCCCTGTACATGGGCAGGACAGGGCCGGATACAGGACTGGTGTCCCTGTACATGGGCAGGACAGGGCCAGGTACAGGACTGGTGTCCCTGTACATGGGCAGGACAGGGCCAGGTACAGGACTGGTGCCCCTGTACATGGGCAGGACAGGGCCAGGTACAGGACTGGCGTTCACTCCCCACGGACAAATTTCCTGTCCATGGATAGAACAGGGCCAGCTACAGGACCGGTGTTCACTCCTCATGGACAGCGAACGACTTGGCATTGCGGGCTGACGATCGGGGAGGGCGAGTAGCTCCTGTCACGCGTTACCCTGCGCCGGTGCGCAGCATACTGGGGCAGGGTCGCGCTGTGACCTGCTGGCACCTGCGCGACCGGGCTAGCTGACCGCACGGCCTTCCGGGTTGCGAGGGGAGGGGGAGGCAAAAATCACTGGGCCAATATGTGGCACGCCCCATCTTTAAAGCTAAAAACAACTCTGGCCGCATCGCTCGCGTGTTAATGGCATTTATGAGCCACGGGCACCATTTTGCAGCATTACAGCGTCGGAGATGAACTGACGTGCTGAACCGGAGGGAGCGGGGAGGGACATCACAGCCTGGTGCTGGGTCGCGGCGTTCCGAACAGTGCAGCACATCAAGCGACCTTACAAAAGTCGAGCCGGAAGCGTGGATGCGCTTTGTTGACATTTGCCGGCGAAACAGCCGCATGACCTCGACCTTTGAACGAATATGCCCCTTTCCATTGGAGAGACAGCGACAACATCAACACATCTTAAACTTTGTGACACAAAAGAGCAACTGAGGGAACACCGTGACCATTACATTGCACGACAACATGACGATGACTCCAATGCGCCACGTCTGTGACGCTTTTTTACGCCGCCCACTCCTGTCTTCACCGTACGCAGTATCCGTTCATATTCCCAGTCATCGATGCATGACAACGCCTGCACCACTTCAACACGGTGCTGCTCTCACCGAGCCAGGTCCCCGCCCACAGATGACGCCAACTCCGACACTAGGCGAGCATTAGGGGCGCTGTGATCGCCGCGTCCGCCTACAGGCGGCACTCCCTCTCGTCGGCGCCGTTGGGTGGCAGCAGCGGCGCGGCGCCGGACGGGCCCGACTCGGCGACCGCGGCGCTCATGCTCGTGCTCTCTATGCCGACCATGGTGTGCATGGTGTGCTGCGAGCGGCACGAGAGCGACGAGCTCCGGTGGCCGCTCCGGAACACCGGCGCGTGCAGGTTCACGTAGCGACCGTACGTGTTGCGCAGCAGGTTCTGCACCTGCCAGTCGGGAGCGTACGCCGTGTTAGAGACTGTACAGTCGTGGGAGCGTGCACACAGCGCAGCACCAGCCGCCGGCCACGGACCGCTGCGGCGTCCGACAGTGCTCAGCACGGTCAAGCACGTGCGATTTCAAGCTGTCATCAGACGAGATCACTTTTAGCGAGTCGCGGGCCGAAGCTATGTAACGGACTTGAGAGAAAAATGCGATGCTTAAAAAGCAGGGTTCTCCATTCAAAGCCAGACCACCTAAAGCTTATGGCATGGATGGGTTTGCCGCTGAAACATGCGTAGCTGCTCCCAGTCATAAAACACTAAAATTGCACCATGGAATCTGGTTCTGTTTCCGCAATTGAAAACCTTCAGACTTTTTCAAGACATTGAATGCCACGGTTGTAAACTGTAAGAACATGATATGGCATCCTGAATAAATAATCAGGTCGGGCCGGACAAATGCCGAAAAAGAGAAAAGTGTTCAATGCTTTGCTTCAGCAACACAGATTATCTTCAGAAAGACAGAACGCTTTTTTCGCACATTGAATGTCAGACCAGCAGATAATGCTTCGCATTACTTCACTGTGTGGGCTTGGTTATGCACAACAGCTATCTTAGTTGTTAGAGAAACGTGCTACGAGCCAATTAGTTGTAAAGGTGTCGCAGTGCAAAGGGACATTTGCATACGTATAAAAAGGGATAGAAATTGATGATTTGATCCAGCAGATGGAACAAGAACAGCGAGGAACAACTCAGTACCTTCTCAACTAGATCTATAAAAACATACAAATAACATAAGCATTCCTCGCACAACACCAGGGGCTCAGCCAGTGTTATCCTCTAACCCATCTAGTCATTACCGCTTTCCCTTCGCCGTGTTTGCGCTTTCTCACGTCCGCCAGCGCCACATGTGTCCGTTCGAAAGACTGAGACTGTGTGTGTGGTCGTCAGCGCCTGGCAGTGCCCCAGACGGTGCCGAACACCGCTCTGCTGACCGCTGCGTGTACCGCGGGCTCTTCAGCATGTCCGCATCTGCGTCTGCCTCCGGCGCAGCCAGCCTGCCACCCCTCGCTTTCCGATCTCGAACCACGCCGATGTCATCTTATCACGGCTTTACAAACAACGCTGGAAGGATGGCGCCCCCAGTCACAGATCCCCGTGAAAGGTGACGCCACCTGCCCTCAACTGGTCAGGACTGGTCGCGGCTCACTTGAGATATATGTCAAGCGTGCGCGTAATTGTGCGTGATTGTACACTCCGCTCGGTCTCGGCAATGTTCCGCCGAGTTGAGCTGCGCAGAAAACTAGCTCGAGGCGCGGGCTATGATTAAGGGCGGCGCGCTTCACGGCGTGATCAAGTCACTCCCCCACCCACCCTTCCGTCACGTCACGTCACGTCACGTCACGTCCGCTAAAACCATCTTTTTGTGCCGGTAAGCGTAAGGATCGATGTACGTAACCACGCGCCACATGTTACTGCGATCAGTTTGCATTATAGGGCCACTTCGTATGATTAAAAAACAAACTGTTGACCGATCCGTCCAGAAGCGATCCGTACCCCACTGATCCACCGCTGTATATACGACCAAGCATGCGTGTCCAACAGTGACGGGCAACAGCACACGACGAACGGAAGTTCTTTAAGAAAATAAATCGAGTAAGAGTATTACAGTTCATGACATTTCAGAAAACGGATGAGTCGGGCTCAATGTATTAATTTTACTGGATTCGATCAAAACACTCCAAGCGAACGACACGGATTGGGATTTGTTTGGAAAAATCTTAAATAGCACAAACTGACTGGCATTGAAGGGCATCTAAATGCTATTGAGCCGACAAAATGTTGATAAGGGGACACCATAGTTGATGAAGGCCCATGATCGTGAGAAGACCTCACTCCAAGAAAACGTCCACCAGGTTGGGCCCGTTTTATTTCAAGAGGACGACTTTGTTCATTATATTTTTCACCGTATTGAATTGAAACAGCAGCCAGAGGGGCAACAGAAGATAACATTCTGGTTGTGTTTAGAAGTCAAAGCAGCAAGCATCAAATGAGAGCATCACATAAGTCGCTAATTTTACTCATTTTGCAATGGTAGTTTGGCCTTTTTTAAGCAAACACAAGCAGAGTTTTCCCTATTTTCGCGGTTGGTCATAACTTATTAGAGGCACCGTGGATGAAACACCACTGAATATGGAAACGGCGCCTAGAATTTGTTTATGTGTCACACCCATATTCGACTGGGGTGTTCATTCCTCCTTCTGTATCGCTTGGTGTGAATCATCTGAAAAAGTCTTGAGCATGCAAATTTGCACTGAAGGAGAAAACCCCCGGGCCATCCTCGGCCGTTGCAGTTTCCATCGCTCGCGTGTCACCGGTGACGCAGGCAGCACACATCCTCTGCGATGATTATCACGCAGGCAACACACATCCTCTGTGATGACAATCACTCCGGTAACACACATACTTTGTGATGATGAGCACGCAGGAAACATACACATCCTCTGTGATCATGATCACGTAGGCAACACACATCCTCTATAGTGATGATCACGTAGGTAACACACATCATCTGTGATGTCACACAGGCAGCCCACATCCTCTGTGGTGATGATCACGCAGGTAATACACATCCTCTGTGATCATGATCACGTAGGCAACACAATCCTCTGTGGTGATGATCACGTAGGTAACACACATCCTCTGTGAAGTCACGCAGGCAGCACACATCCCCTGCGATGATGATCACGCAGGTTACTCTGTGAGGATGATCACGCAGGCAACGCACATCCTCTGTCATGATGATCACGCAGGCAGCGCATACACTCTGTGATGATGATCACGCAGGTAACACACATCCTCTATAATCATAATCACGGTTTCCGGGCAGGGCGAGCCATGGAGTCGCCAGTGGTGGAGGCTGCCAACTACTCGCTCGACGCATGGAACCAGGGCTGGGCAACAGCCTAACTGGTGGTCTAAATTTCGAGTGTGGTCCAACGTGGTCTAAATGCCATTGCTTCCAATGCAAATGCTTCTATAGTCATTACTTATACACAACATTACTTCTATTACAAATACACGCACAGGCGACGCTAGTGCAACAAGACAAATAGTATGCTTCAAAATTTACATTTCTTATTAATTCTATTGCAAAAAATATACCGTCATCACCAACGTAAAAACTTCTAGGGTCAATGCTCACACACAGCATTACTTTTACTGCAAAGAGTTTTAGCCGCATATCTGCTTCAGCAAAGACTCGTGATGAAGCCTTTGCTGTAAAAGCAAAGGCTGGTACATGTTTTTGCAGTATAAGTTTTGCCGTTCTGCACTCTTGCCATGTATTAATTTTTGCGGTAGAAGTACTATCGTGTATATGTGAGGGATGTATAACTCTCTGCTGTATGGGTAGCGATGACTATAAGTTTTTGCAGCATTCTTTTTTCAGCATAGGTTTTGTCGTGCAGCACTCCTGTCGTGCACGAGTTTGTGCTGTAGGAGTAATGTTGCGTCTGAGTAAAGGCTGCATAAATTTTTGCAGTAGATGCAATGATAAAAACAAATTTTTAAGTCTATAATTGGCCGCGCAGCACACATGTGTATAATTACAGAACAAGCAAAATCGGTTTAAGTTTTTGCATCAGTAGTAATGTCGCAGAAACCTCTGTCGGTAGAAATTTTTGCCCCCGCCAGCAGAGGGCAGCACTGTACGATGTGGGCGGACAGGGGAGTCGAGCGCTTGTGGCCCGCCGTCAAGTTGCGGGGTCGTGAGGCACGCCGAACATATAGGAGTCGGAACTCACTGTGTGAGCACGCGAGGCGTCGCGCGTACGTGGGGACGTGAGACGAGCCCAGTTATCGCGATGCCACTGCTCTGTCGCCCCGTTTGTTCTTCGTTAAGTCCGAACGAATACCGGCTACATTGTGAATGCCTGTACAGCGGCCCCCCTTACGTCTAGCCCTTCCCCCCCCCCCCCCCCCCCCTGCGGATCTGGGCGTGTCCGCGGCGTAATCCACGCCGTTTACGAGGCGCAGCTGGTGAACGATTACTGCTGGCGCGCTGGTAGCGCGACGCACGTGGCGTTTGAATCCAGGACGGAGCCGAAACCTCCTAATGACCACAAACTACGGTCAACTTGCTGCTTCCCAGGCGTTATGATGACGAGGGACGAGCGCTGATATTTGTTCGCAAGCCGTACCCTAAGGTGCGTAGTGCCACCGTACGCGCGTGGCGTGGCCCCAGCCGCCGTCAGTGGCGCTCAGAAAGGGTGGCTATGCGGAGTATTTGCTTTGGAATGGGCAGGGCAACTGCCACCAGAATTCCAGGCTTTCCCTCAATACGCAGCATGCCGTCCTTTCCCCAAGACCGAATCGCATCGGGATCGTAATGGCCAAGAAGGAGGTTGCGCGCGGGACCCGACCGAGCGCGAGTCAGGAGGAGCCCGACGAACACAGTCCTGCTCTTACGTATATGGCGCTATTTGTACGTATGTGTACGTACATATACGTATATTACGTATATGTACGTTCGATGGCGACGCGACTCGAAGGCACAGTTTCGCACATTTTGGGCTAGCAGACGGCCGACTCGTTCCGTTTGTCCCTCACTTGACCTCAGGCGTGACGGCATGAAGAGGCATAGACCATGTGATACATGGTCATGAACCAGTTTGGACCGCCCGGGACACAGCACCGCCCGATAATGTACGACGGCTGCTGGATCTATCCGTTGACGTTCAACACCTCAGGGATAATCAGAACACAGCGCGTTCTCTTCAGCCGTGGAGCACGCCCGGTCTTATAAACCCTTGGTGGCAGGATATTCGGTAAGGACAGATATATTGTTATCAACGCTTAAAGGAAGGGCGACTAGCGCCTAGGTCTGTGGACAGGTTTGGCCGGGCAAGTCTCCAGGGTACGATGGCTATAGAGACTGAAAGCCTACACACAGGTCATGCCGGGCGCTCGCTGCCCGCCAATGAGCTCCACCGTCCCATCAGGCA